GTTTCTGCATGTCTTCTTCATATACTAAGTGAAGATTTACTATTTTACTTTTAAATGACAGGGAAGTGAAGCTGGAGCAGAGAAGGTTGAAGGAGAAAATGAAGGAATTCAACAAAAAGGAAGCCAAATTTTATGGAAACATGTTTGCGAAATTAACTGTAAGTATATATCTCTAATTAATCCAATGGTTTGATCATATGATTATAAGAAGATGAAAGTAGAAAGTGGTAATTATTATGATGATAACCAAATCTTGTGTTGGTGGGAATTTGCAGAAGGAATCATCAAAAGATGGAGAAGCCATAAGTACCTGAGTCTTGAAAACGTTCCAAGAACTCTGCATTTTCAGTTTCTTGCTTCTTTTGGTTTGTTGCAATGTTTTTCTTAGTTTTTCGTCCTGAGCTTTAGTGAGAGATTTATAAAACAGGGACTTCTATGATGAGAACATTTGATTCCAGTTAGAGATTAATCGCATGTGTTGTTTTTTTCGTCTAGTTGTTGGTAGAACGTGGAGCTATGAACATGGAACTTTCAAGATTAATTTGAGTTCTTAATATGATATTGAGTCACGTTTTTGTCTTTAGAGTGAAAGACGGATGGTTAAAAAGGATTTTTGATACTGGAGCTATAAATTCATCACTCATGGGATTTCAATTTCTCTAACTGGTTTCAAACAATTAAAATGAAAGAAGAGTTGTGAGATGAATTCCCAGGAAGATGGTTTAGTGAGGCAAAAAACGTATGATGATGGTCCGGCGGTAGAAGATCCTATCGTCCAAACATTTTATGGACGTGCAACGGTCATCTCGATTTTTGAACCACCCAGTGAAATCCTTGGGGGTGGGGAAGCAGAAAGATGTAACGGCTGAGGAAAGAAAGTAAACGATCTTTTGGGTTGTGTTGGTGTTTTGTTCGTCAATTGTAAAAATTTAAAAGGTCCGTGAAAAGAGTTTGCGTTCGTCCAAACACAAAATAGTTTCTTGTGCCTTTGTTTTGGAGTTTGGACCTTTGGTGGACTTATACCACCGCAATTAAGGCTAATTATACTGCTTTCAACGTGCAAAAGGCTTTGAATGGTTGTCTAGTATGCTGCAGACCGGACTAAAATCGGACTAGTACGCACTTAATTTACCATTCACTATTGCATACTAAAAATCTCCATACTGGTATG